GTCAAGGACAATGTCTGCAGTAAGACGAGTGCACTGGCAAAACAGCACTATAAAGGAGTCTGCAGAGTCTTGAGAGTCTTCAATGCCAGACTGGGCTTGCAAAACTCCTTTGGGAACTAGCTTGTTAACACAGCTATGTCCAGCATGCAGTGTGGCAGCTCCTGCCTCTGACATCCCAGGAAGCTGAGTATCTCAGGTTGTCCCTGCCACTTGGAAATGGAAACAAGCCAGGCTTGCTTGGAGGTAGTGGGAAGAGACATCTTTACTTTCGCCACTGTCGAGTAATGTCACCCATGAAGTAGCCCAGAGTGTAGTAATGGAAACATCTGCTGGGGAAAGATTCTGGCAGAGTCCTACAAAAAAATTTAGATCCCCACAGCACTGGATGGATTACTTACTCCACTGGGTTTTGCGTTTTTTGCTTTGTTTCACTGAACATTTGGGATTTATCGTAGACTTCTGGAAGAGCTTTTTAGGAAATCCCACACTATCCTCAATATTTTGGAGTGGATGAAGGCAGGTAGCCCATGAGGAGGGCTTTTCTCAGAACATAAGGGAAGGCCACTAGCAGGGGAGGGATGATGAAGAGCTGCTTTTCTTTACAACAGGATTTTTGTTTGAAGAATCAGTAGGAAAGTCCAGCCTGATCTCTGGTCATCATGTGCCAAGTGACAGCTCCAGCATTGTATACAAGGGGCAGAGGGACAGAAAGTCTGGGGAGAAACTTTTTGTGATTTTTGAAAGAGCAAGGGATGTTTAAGGGAAGGGTGTGGTATTTTCAGCCAAACAGGCAGAAACAGGGCTGAGATAATACGCATGGTGGCCATTGAATGTGTGGCCAATGTAGGTATGTGTAGCTGTCACAGTGAAATGAAGCCCACTGTTTCCAGTAACAGTCCTGTTAGCAGAGTTCCTTCTTTAGCAGAAGCTATGCAGTGCACTGCATGCCGGCTTAATGTGTACAGGGTTTAGGAAGCTTGTATCTAAGTGAAAAAATGAAGTCTGTGATCTCATAGCAAAGCAGCCCAGTGCAAGCTTCATGAGCATGCAGCGAAATTTATGGGCGTATAAAGGAATTTATGGACTGATATTCCCCAGAGACAGCAGGGAATATGTAGCACTGCCTACAGTGCAGCTCAGTACCTGTATACTGGACTGCCCCAAATCAAAGATGCCCGTTTCCTAAGCATTTCATGCAAACCTGTTATCCACGAGGGTCTGTGTTGTAATGCGGTGACAGCCTTTTTCTACTCACATAACTATGATCGCCGCTGAACAAACAGAAAATTCAAATGTGACCAGCATCTCAGACTTTTGCAAAGTTCTCGAGATCACACAGAGCAAGGCTGTGGATGACACCTGTGATAGGAGTGTATGACTGGTGACATAATACATTAGCTCTGAATTTCACCACCTCTAAGTGCTTTCCAAACAATTTGTCGAGGGTTGGGTTGTCCAGACTTCAGAGGATGATGGCTGCATTCTTGAATGCTAGGATGGCAGTGTGGAGACATTGTAGTAAAATTAACTCCAGGTACTTGGCATGGTTTGTTGAAGATGACCCATTGCATGTGGATGTTCTGTACTTACTACTGATTGTAGTAGTGTGGAGGAAAATGAGGTGTCACAGCCTTTCTCCTCCAGAAATGGCACTTCTGCCTGATAGAGACTGCAAGGTTGAGAGGTTGATGTTATGACCCTGTCTGCCATGAGGTATTGTCTGCAACCACCACCAGTGACAAAAACCTGCTCCAGCATCTGGTCCATGCTGTGCATAACCTCTCGTAGTGTATAATATGCTGGGTGATAGATGCTAAGTGGTTGGTCAGCTTGGTCAAAGCTTATGGTCCAAGAAAGTGCACTTGTGGGAAGGTGCAGAAGCCAAAGAAATCTGGTTTGGCTCGTGCTAAGTATGTGAGGACAAAATTAACGTTCTGCAAATGAGGGCCAGCAGTGTGGATTCAGTTTGGCATGAGTGACTTCGACTGACAAATTCAAGACCAAAGTCAGTCCTGGCTATCAAAGATTATAGATACAGTCTAAAAATTACCTGCTGCTTGAGAGGTTCCTGGCAGTAAAAAATTCCTCTCTTCAAGCTTTTCCTCAGTTCAGTATAGAACTGAGGATTTTAGGTCATCACAGACAGTGATAAGCACTATACTGACTTTTCTGGACCTACCTCATAATTTTAACTTCTCAGTATGCAATTGGCCTAGAGAGTGTTTTTTTGCAGATGTCTTTTTCTTTTTATTTTTCATAGCAACCTTATATCTTGACAAGTATGGGCTATGTTGTAAAATGTGTGTTACTGTAGCTGAATAGGTACTCAGGGCACATAATAATTCAATACAGCAAGCTGCAATTAGAAGTTAAGTATAAAAGTGTATTTCCTCTGTGAATTAGAGAAAAAAGTTATATTTCTTAGTGTCTGGTACAGACAAGAGTCTCTTGCCTTCTGTAAGCAGAAGATGGAGAGATTCTGCCAGCAATGCTGTGAATAATTAGATGACATAGTGCTTTCTCAGTAATGTGCATTGCAGAATAAAGGACAAACTACACTGGGCTAAGTATTGCAGGGTAGCTCACATTGGTTCATCTGACGCAAGTTATGTCAAGTGAAATGAAATCCTCAGCTGCTTCTCTGAATACCCAGGACACTGGGGCAATGCTGGACTTTCACAAGAAGTGAATTGAACTCTAACCCAGACAAACTCAGTTTATAATTACTCCAAAAGCATGTATTGAATGTCTTGCTGTGTTCCAGTATCATAGGTCAAGAATACAACTGAGTGCTAATTATGCTGTTTAATGCAACCATTTTGAAAGTTTATTTCTAACCTTTTTTAATGGTTTCTCATTTTCTTATTCTATTAGCAACCCATTTTCTGCTCACTTCCCTCCCTATTTGACATTTCAGAATGAATAACGAAGCAGGTTTTTAAGTGCATATGCATTTCCTCAAGGAAATCAGGGCTTGAGCACACACATTGGTCTTTGCATGCATGCCAATGAAGCATGCATAAAAATATGTCTGCCTTTGCTCGCATACATGCCAAAGTCTGACCTTCCATGCTTTGAACTCTTGCTCCAAAACATAAATGCATAATTCAAGAAGACTGAAGCAGAATAGTGTTGAGCATAACTTCTGCATACATGGTTCTCATAGCAAACTGTGCAGACTTGAATTACATTTCTAAACTGTCCGTGCACCAGAAGATGTGGGTTCCTCAGCATGAGGATGAGGAAAAGCAATGTGCCCAGCAGCCAGGGCAATCTACATGGGCTGGCAGACAAGCACTGAGGACAGTGTTCTTTCTGGAGAACTTCTGAGCTGAAGTGAGAACGTTTAGCTCCGTGTGAATTTCAGGTACGAAGGCGAAATAGGTGGTAAAAACAACCTTTGTAAGTCTCAAGAGACTATATGTGTGAGAGAAGCACCATAACGAATTGTCTTTCTGAAGTAAGTCGTTCTGAGTATGTGCCAAGTGGAGCCTGTAGAAAAGTGTCAGGTTCAGGTACTGAAAGGTGGGATGGTAGCTAAGCAAATGTTTTGGGGATAAGCAGACTTGAATATTGCTTAGGTCTAATTAAGCCTAAAATGCCTCATTCATTTCTTTCTGGACCAGATGCTGGTAATAATACTCAAGGGATACTGTTATGGTGCCAACCACAATGTTGAATATAACTGAATTTATTTATTAAGAATAAAAATAAATGTTCAAAGGTAAAGGTGATAGCAATGAAGTCATTTTGTGTCTCATTACACTGTGAAGAAACACAGCCCATCGTGCAACAGAAGAATGATGTTCAGGAATCCAAAAATGTACACTACTGCTTGTGTGCATGTTTGTTTTCCCTTCCTACGCAGACACAGGCAAGGCTGATATATAAAAAGAAATGCCTACAGACTGCTAGCCTCTGACTACTGGTGTGCAAATTTTTCTTTTACTCTGCTGAGTATTTGTCCTGGTTGAAAGTGTCATGGGAAATATTCTTCACATTGTTTTACAGCCTTTGGTAGCTGAAGAAAATGAGACTATTTCTGTAAACAAAAACTCCACCCTGCCACAATTATTTAGCTGCGTGCATGAATTCGGATGTTGATATGCCCCTATTATAGCACAGATTTACTGACAGCTATGGCTACTGGAATAAGCCTCTCTGTCCCTCAAATCACCTGTTAAAATTGACTTCAATTGGTCATCGCTGCCAGCTCTGAAGGGTGTCACCAAAGTGCTGCTGGAAATGATGCAGAGCTATTTTGGGGGATATCTTAGATATTTTCTTAATTGCCATATTGCAACATTGCATGGATTAGCCAAATCATCTTCTGGAATTCTCATAGTATTCAAACAGAGTCTTTATTACTTTTGTAATTCACTCTTCACTGACTACTCAGAAATGCTGTAAGATGTGTTGAAAACTTGTACAAAGGACATCTTAGGAGATGCAAAGCAAAATCTTTTTACAACCTCCAGAATTTACTAAAGATTAATCTAGTGCAATGAAAATTTCTTCCACACAGGTGTGTTTCTGAATAAAAATTAGACTTCACGGTTATTGTCCTATAGCTCATAGCTGAGAAAAGACTATTCAAATCCTCTAATGTCTCTGGTGCCTTAGAAAGTGGTCTCTCAAATTTTCCATTTGAATTTGGCCTAGATGATACAGTCCTTGGTACAGTATTATCTTAGTTTACGTATTTGGTTTGCGTCTTCAGTGAAAAATATGAAAGGAAGAGCAAGAGTGATACATCCAGTGTAATTTTGCAACGTGCTTAGTACGAGCTACTAAGTTTCTTTTTACTAAGAATACAGCTGACTGCTTTACTATTTTGAATTAAATTATTTGTTTGTATACTCAATTCTCGTCAATCTCTTTTCATCAGCAGAAAAGTATTGATAAAGCGCTAGTTGACCATTAGAAGACGGATAAAATAGAATGATGCATCTTCATTACTATCATATGCTCTCTGAACTATTTTTTTTTTCCCCTTGCAGGACAGTTCTGTTCACTTTGACCTCTGTAGTTGTGCTTGTCATCACTACTGACTGGATCAGCTGGGACAAGCTGAATCGTGGATTTCTGCCAAGTGATGAGGTCTCAAGAGCCTTCTTGGCTTCTTTCATCTTGGTGTTTGACCTTCTTATTGTCATGCAGGTACACTCTCCTAATGTTTCATTCAAGCTGCTGAGGCTGCCTCACCATTCTATTTCCTCTAGAGCAAATGGTGATTAGCTAAGACTATGTAAAGGTAAATAAATGTTTAGGTTGCAATCGCTATTATTAGGGGCTTTTTATAAGGCCATTCTCTGTGATTTTGCAAAAAGGCCACTCACCTTTTATTGTGAAAATATTGCTAATTCTCTTCTTAGACTACAAGGTAAGAACTGCATGTCTTTCCAAATGCAAAAATCACATCAGAAAAAGAAACGAAAGCTAGTTGGTTTGTAAATTCAAAGATTCTGTTAAGGAAAATGAGAGAAATTTGACCAAACAAGAAAGAAATACTTCCATATTTCAAACATTTACAATATTAGGTATACACACATTAGAGCATTTCAATAGATGAAAATTAGTATTTGCTAAGATTCCAATTTCCACTTTCACATGAAGATTTCTTTATTTTGATGACAGGTCCTTGTGCTGTAATGTCTTCTGCCAGCAAGGCTAACTGGGGAGATGGTTCCTTGTAGTCTGCCTGGTGTCTGCTCTTTTGAATCTAGCTGTTAAGAAAGGAATCTGGGTCACAAGTATGTGGCCAAAAGCCTCCTTCATGTGATGCTATGCTCTACCCTTTGCATTTGTCTGTGGTTTGAGCCTTATGTGAGTAACTCAAGCAATGCTCTGTGAAAAATTAGGTCGTTTGGGCTGAGGCAAGGAAAAGGAGGATTGAAGTTGTGACTTTTGGTGTTGGTCCTAGACATGTTAGACTGTTGAACTGAAGCTTAGCAAAGAATTTGAGAAGAACTGATGGGTCCTTTTTCTCCAATATATTACTAACTTACTGTGCTAGCAAAGACTGTTTCTGGCACACTTAGTTCTCTTTAATGAGATATCTATTGCTTGAGTAATTGCCATAGAGGTGACACTGTGCTGGCACTCAGAATTAATCACTGCTGTACTGGGACATTAAAGCTGCATGAAGTACTATAGTTCAGTTTTATTTTCCGCTATCCACCGCTGTCCAGTGCTCACTGCAGTTTGTGGTTAGAACAAGGAGGATAAGAAAGGGAATACTGTTTTCCTAGTAAGATTTCTGGCGCTTTCTTTTCTCTCCCTTTGCATTTTACATTTCATTTGCTGTTTCAAAAAGATTCAAAAGAATGTATAATAAATGATTGTACTTCACAGGGCTGTAGTGACAACGTGAATGAAAATACATGATGTATCCACCTATACTAAATTCAAAATTGTATGCATGGTAGAGAAACAGAGTTGTCTTCATACCAAATAATTATTAAATCATCCTCTCAACTTTGAAAAATGAAGTTCCAGTACTTTGACCTTGCAGATGCTGAATATAGGGAAGATTTTTATGTGAAACAGCCTGTCTCAAGTACTATTTCGTATTTTTACAACACAAAGGAAGAGGCTCTTTTTAATTGCATTTTTGACTGATGTTTGTGTGATTATTTATTTATTTAAAGTTATTTATTTGGACTGTGCAACTAAGTTGGCATATTTTATTTACAGTATAGTTCTAGCATCATTGCATTGCTACTGCAATAAAGTCAAGTTGAGACAGTGAAATATTAAATCATTAGTGAGGACGGTCAGGATCATGATCCTTTGACCGGAGTATGCTTTAGAATTACATGTCTCTAGAAATTCTTTCTAAGAGTGTAGTCTGTTTCACAGATTTTTTTTTTTTTTTTGTAACTTAACAAGCTTTAGCAACAAACTGTTAAAATTAGAAGAAAAGCCCCAAACCCACTTTGTATTAAGCAATTTCTGTTTGAGGCTGATGTTAACTAAGAGCACAGATGAAGTCTCATCTGGTTATTGAGTACAGGTGTTTTCTGTCCCTCTGAACAGTAGCATTAATACTGCAAATGTGACTGTGTTTAGCACCAAAAGAAAATGAACTGAGTTTGGAAATCCATTCTCAATGCTGTGAAAAATAATTATGTAATTGTAAAGGCCGGTTCTATCTTCTCAGTATTGTAATAATTTAGTATTTATCTAAGCCCTATGTAGAGCATAAGAAAGAAATAAAGGCCTGAGTGGTCCCTACCCTCAAGAGCTACCATTTTTCAGATAGACATAATCCAGGGGGACAAGTGAAGAGGAGAACACAGACAGCTGAACCTTATACAGCAATTATACGTGAGTGATACTTAAGGGTATGTGCACTTTTTACCTTTGGTTTCCATCCTGCAAGAAACTCTGGTTGCCTCCCAGCCCCACACTCCTTCTAGCATGCAAAGGCTTCTCCAGTCTGAGTGATTTGCTGGATATTCAGGGGACGGATCAGGGAGACAAGCACAGATGAGAGACAGAGTAGAAAACAGAGACAAGTGACTGAAATGTAAATGTGGAAGTTATGACCACAAAAATACTAAGACAATCCAAGAAAACAGATCATGGAGAAGGTTGCAGGACTACAACAGGACTTCATGGATAGTGTGGCATGGGTAGTGTGGCTTCTGGCTCAGACTGTGTTCCTGTGTTTTCTGCCAGCCTCACTGTGACACGTCACTTCATATCTGCCCTCCCTGGAGTGAAGAAAACAGACCCTGAGCACCTATTTTAGATGGCTGATGTGTATACTTTTCCACCTGATTTTAATCACTGTATATTCATAGTCAATGGAGAGATCGAGGTATAGTTGGGGTGCTTTTGAACATCTACAGTAAGATGTAGCAGGCCCTAGAGGTGCACATTTCTCTCCACTGAGAATAAACAGACCCAACATGATGAGCTGAGAGGAACCATCCCTTAAGCCAGACCCAGGAAAAGGTGTGTGAGGGTGGCATGGCTTAAGTCCAGAGCTGCAGCTCTGGAAGGATCCTGCTCAGCTATTTCCACAGTTGGTAAAAGTGCCAAAGTAGCATTTCTCTGCTACTGTTTTATCATGGAGACTTCAGAGCATGTCTGACTCTTGCAACCAGGATCTCCACTTCTCCTGCTGCTGCCTGGCCATGGTTTGAAAGGAATTTAAGTTTCACTGGGTCTAAGACATTCTGTCAGAGGTAACACCCATTTTAGGCTGGCTGGGAGGCAGCACAGAGGCCTCTATTCCAGTCCTGGTTGTCAGGACGTTTTATACAATGTAAATGCAAACACTGATCTCTTTAAATACAGAGATTGTATATTTTCCCTCTGAAAAACAATAGATCAAATTCAGTCCAATGCAGGTAGGCATTAGTTCATTTTAAAGGATGTGTGCTTGCTTATAGTAAGAAAGTAGAAACCCTACAAGTTTGTTATTTTTTCCACAATATGAGAGTGATGAAGGTAGTCGTTTTCACAATGTGTTTAATTGTGCCTGCCCTGATAATTGAGATGTCAAGATGCTGACATCACTGCTGTACATGGGCATCATTATCTTTTTAGCCTTGGTTTCAGGCTGGGTGCAAGACTACACGTACTAAAGCTGCATATGTACTAATGCTATTATCATGTAATAGGACTTTTTACTGTTTTAATGAAAAATTCACATATTCAGTTCTCTTTCTCAAAGATGTAATGGAAAAGCTGTTAATTAAAGGAGTAAATACGAAAAAATACTCCCACATTCTGAACACCTCTATTTAAGCAAGTAGACAGTAACTCATGCATTAGCCTATACTTTGGTGTCATGTTCTCAGTGATGTTGCGAATGGGTAGGAGCCTGTGGTGACTGGATTACTAAACCTTGTGTGCCCGGGGAGATGAATTGCTTCATCTCTGTAGTGTCTTTTGTGAGCATTTACAGGTTTCTTCAGAATTCTGAAAGACCATTGAGTATTTCAGCATCAGTGTGGAGTTACACGCTGTAGCTACCTTGCTGAGCACTTTGCAAGTCCCCTGGTGTAAATTCTTGCAACTCTTATGACTTACTGCAATTTTTTATCTGACAGTACAATCAGATACAGTGTCTGAGTGATATAAAAGCTACTTGAAAATACTATTTGATTCCAAAAGGAGAATTTATTCTTCAATAAACTGAAGAAATTCTGTAGCAGACGAGTGGAATAAACAGAAACCAGGCAGAGCTTATGTCTAAGATTCTTTGAGAAAGCTCTTGTATGTGAATCTTTAACCAAATTAGCAAAATAATCCTATTAATATCAAATGGAAATACTCTTGTAAATAAGGAGAATATGACTTTGTCCTTCTGGGTAACTTGAAAGAAATGAAGGTCAAAGAGAGTTAGATAAGTAACAACATTCCTTATGACGAGTGCTGGATCTCTGCTTGAATAGATAAAAGACTATCAGCAGACAGATTTTTTGTTAATAATAACCATTTTTCAAATTTATTTTTTATAATATTTTTGTTTGCAAATTGCTTTAACCTGTAACTGTAGATGTCTCATTGCTACTGCAATTGAAAATCAACATATTTAGTGGGTGGCATGTCACTTTTTGTTTTGTTTTTTTCACAGTGTCTTGTCTTCTGTCTTTGGTAAACTTTTAATAAGACATTTAGAAAGAAATATAGATTGAAGAAAATCTGTATTTAGGATCTGCTGTGGTTTTTTTCTTCTAGTTCTTCATATTTCCCTGGAAGAAAAGTAGTTAAATTAGCTACTTTGTAAGGTTAATTATGTTTTGTATGTGTCACTGTTAAACAGTAACACAGAAGTGTTATCGGCAAAATGGAACAGACTCTGGTCTTAATAACAAATGCATGAAGTGGGGACAGTGCCATTTATTTTCAGTTTTACACTGATGGAGAGGCTGTTTTTATTACAATCTAGCACGATGTGTGACCATATTAAAAAACACCACCCACAACATTAAGTGCATGGAAGAAGATATAATTTGATTGAATAGTTTATAGATAGAGTAGAAATATGGTCTTGTCCACACAAAGTGGACAAGACTTGATTTTTAGACATTGGGTTTTTTTTAGAAAATCTATTTAACTTTGCAAACATAATTTGATTGTGTCTTTTAACTGGATTTGCACTCAGGAGTTTGATGAAATTAATTTGCTCGTATACAAATGAG